CCACTATTTGCATTCACACCTGGGCTGTATATATATATTGCCTTGGTTTGGCTCTGTAATCATTAGTGGTCGTGGGACTGGTTTGGGCCCTACCTAAGCTGGTCAAACGTTTCGTTTGGGTCTATACCACAGCTGCACTGATGAGAAGGCCTAGAAGGCCTCATCATAAATAATAAATAATAAATAATAATAATAATAATAATAATAATAATAATAATAATAATAATAATAAATAATAATAATTAATAATAATAATAATAATATCTGGAAGGGAAAATGCCCCACTCCCCCTTCCCACGTAGCGCTGACATTGATAATAGAACCCTGTGGTCACCAAACAGAAAGTTTCATCAAATTTTGCTTCCTTGATAAAAACAGTTCGGTTTCTATTGTTTAAGTATGAACGAAACTTTTAGAATGCCCTAAATAATAATAATATAATAATATTAATAATAATATATAATAATACAAATAATAATAATAATAATAATAATAATAATAATAATAATAATAATAATAATTTTTTCTCCTATGGATTGGTTTTTTTTGTAAAGTAAATAATAATAATAATAATAATAATAATAATAATAATAATAATAGTATAATAATATATTAATAATAATAAATAAATAATAAATAATAAATAACAATATATAAAAATAAATAATTAATAATAATAATAATAATAATGATATAATAATAAAAACAATAATACTAATAATAAAAATAATAATAATGATAATAATGATATAATAATAATAAAAACAATGATATTAATAATAATAATAATAATAATAATAATAATAATAATAATAATGATAATGTCGTCGTACAGTTTCTTAAATCTATTATATTAGATTTGTATATATGATAAGGTGTGCTGTAAATTGGAAGGAGTAACAATCAACAACATACCTTATTCAGCGGTTTTCATGTTTTTTAAAGCTTCTCACAATAACATTACCATAGCAACATACTATACGGTCTTGCTTAATGTATAGCCTTGAACAAACGTATAAAAATATAAATAGAAGAAAATTACTAACATCCATGGTGGCATTAGGCTAAAATTTAAAGTTAAAAGCAGGCATTTCTCCTCAATCTCAATATTTCCTTATATTATATTTTCTTATTCGTTTTTGTTTCATGATTTTTTTTCTCCTTTTACCGCTATAAAGGAGGAGGGGAACTGGGGGGCAAGCAAATAATAATATAATAATAATAATATCTGGAAGGGAAATGTCCCCCACCCCTTTGCCCCGTAGCGCTGCCAATTATAGAACCCTGTGGTAACGAAATAAAAAGTGTCATCAGATTTCGCTTCCTTGATAAAAACAGTTTGGTTTTTATTGTTCCAAGTATGAATAAAACGTTTTGAATGCCGCCAATAATTAATAATAATAAATAATTTATAATAATAATAACAATATCAATAATAATAATGATGATAATAATATTAATAATAATAATAATATTAATAGTAAAAATAATAACAACAACAATAATAATAATAATAATAATAATAATAATAATAATAATAATAATAATAATAATAATAATATCCCCCTCCCACCCCCACCCTTTCCCCGTAGCGCTGCCATTGATAATAGAACCCTGTGGTAACTCAATAACAAGTTTCATTAAAATTTGCTTCCTTGATAAAAACAGTTAGGTTTCTATTCTTCACGTATGAATGAAATTCTTAGAATGTCCCAAATAATAATAATATAATAATAATACATAGTAATAACAAAGATACTAGAAATACAAGATAGAGTTCTCGCATTGTAAAAATGAGGCGGAAGTCGTGCCCAACGTAGGCGGCGCCCTTCTTTTTGACCATGCAAGTTTCCTATACTTCGTGCCCATCGTACAGGGCGCCCTTCTGTTGCTAAGTATATCCAGACGCAAAAGGCGCCCTTCCTTTTCCACTAATGGAGGAAAACTTTTTCACTAAGAGTGCGTCCGGCCATGGATTCTGCGCTGTATTGTTGATTTATTCTTTGCTGATTCATGATTATGCTTTAATTGTTTTATGTATTATTTGGATAATAACAACGATTTCTACCGCCATCAAGGAGGTTATGTATTCACTGATGTCACTGTCTGGGTGTCTATTCCAGTTTTGTTTTTATATCTAGTATCTTTGTTGAGAATTGATAATAAAATACGCGACGACTTGGTAACGAAAGTTTGGCACAAGTTTTTTTAGATCCAGCTGTAGGGGGCGTCCCAT